GCAGGTTCAATCCGTAACACATTTTCACCCGGCATAAAGAATGAAGAAGTCTCATTGGTAGGGTGACCATCGGTCCCATTTTTACTGGGACTGCCCCATATTTAAGATGTCTTCCAGGCAGCCCAACTTTTTTTTTTAAAGGGGCAAAATGTCTCCTATTAGCACACCCCCTGCTGGTCCTTGAGTTCCCCAGCCAGTTCAGCCGTGGCAGCCTTCTATTTGTGGCTGGCGGTCAAGCAGGCACCAGTGCATGGTGTCTGGAGTCAGGCAGGGTGACAAGGGAGAAACATAGAAAGAAACCAGGTAGTAATGTTTTCCCTCTCTGTGCACCCTAAAAATGGGGGGAAGTCTGCCAGCTCTTCCAGAACATGGGGCTGAAGTCCCGACTGCTGGTGCACCACCTGCTCCACCCGGGCTGAAACCTTTTTCTCTGGTGCCCCCACCACTGGCTGTAGCCCGTTCCCACCTTGCCCTTGCCACTGGGCTAGAGCCCCAAGCACAGGCAGCTCCCCTCCCCCCACTGCTGCAGGGCTGAAGCCCCGAGTGCTGGCAGCTTCCCACCCCCCACCTTGTGGCCTGAAGCCGAGTGCCAGCAGTGCCCCCATTTAGGCTAAAGCCCCAACCACCAGCAACCCACCCCCTCGTGGTGTCCCGTTTTAGGCATAGGGAAATATGGTCACCTTACTCATTGGGAAGTGGCTGAGAAATAGAGATACCTATTGGACAGTGAGAACTTTGCCTTGCAATGGAATATAATACATACAATACAAATCCTCTATAGGGGAAAGAGGATGGTGAGGAAAACAACGGGGAGAAACATGGCCCAGTTTCATGAAGACTTAAAGTAACAGGTTTCCTCTCTCTGTCTTGCTAAAATACTAAGACGTGACCACACTGGGAATTCCTCGTAAGCCCATAAAGAAGCAATCAGGCACCTGGAGATTTCAGACTGGTCAAAAATGGTAAAAGATAGATTTGGCTAAGAAAAAAAAGTAACAAGTTCCCGAGAATTCTCCCTCATATCACAGAAAAACATAATCAAATTTAATAAAAATACACTGTTTTGTTTTACATGCAACCAATCTAGGAAAACCAAATTTATTCACATAAGCAAAATATCCACCAAAGGGAATGCATCAGTAGTTCAGTTTCAAGTCACAAGACATGTTTACTTGGCTTTGAAGTCATCCTGTGAGAGATTAACATGAAATAACTCAAACCTGAACTATATATAGTTTCTTCTTTTTCTGTTTGATACATTTTACAGCTAGCCACCATCACACCATTCTACTATCACCCTCCCCCCGTATAGCATATGGCACCATGTGCTAGTCTTTTCATGTTAATTTTATAATGATGAAACAATGGCTATTATGAGAGCAACACAAATGATCCATGTCATTTTGGGGCAAAGTCTGCAGCTCTTGATCTGTCTTCATGCCAAATAAGGGTTAAAACGTTTAGTCCTTAAGAAAGTGTGATGACTGTTGCTTTTGGAATAGCCTTTGCTGGATCATATGAGAACTTGACTAAGAGCTTGAGCAAGGCTTGCAAGTTTTTGCTTCTAATGGAAAGAGCAACCTGCCACTGAAAGCATGAGTCAAATTAATCACTGTTGGAACTCTGTTAGAGTGGATGAAGTTACCCCAGGGATAAATCTGGCCCATTGCCATCAAGTCTGCATTTTATCAAAATTGTGTATTGTTAAAAACACCCAAACAGCTCAGGACTAGATTCTGCCATCATTATTCAGGGAGTAGTATCCTACTCCCTGAGTGGTTCCACTGCAACCAATGACATTACTTGAAAAGTAAGGCACTAATAAGTATTTGTAAGGGTGGGAGAAGTTGGCCTGAAGTTAGTTCTTTTTCTCTCACTGCTACAGGAACTGGCAAAGACAAGGGTGAGTGGGCGGCTCTGGAGTCTTTCCAAGAAAAGTGTGGAAGCTTTGGACAAAACAAAGTCATTTCTTCCAAATATAGGTCTACTCTGAGCTCCAGCCAAGCTCAAGTCTAAAATCCAAATTCAGTCTCTCAGAAAGAATTCATAAGAGAGACTGTATGGCCTACAGAGTCCGTCTATCGAAAATATTTTGATAGTCTTCCCTCTCTGGCATTTTCTTTCACCTATTTTTCCTACAGCACTTGGTTCAGCCTGCAAAGCACAACAACTAGCTTGATAAAAATATTTTTAATGATTTATTAAAAGTGACCTATTATTAGTCATCATTTTTGCCTATGCCCCAATTGGCAAGAAGCAGACAGATAAATTACTACAAGATGTAATGAAACAAATGGCTCTAAAGAAAAAGGTTTTGTGTGTGTGTGTACAAGTAATACGGCAAAATAAATCCATAGTAGTGTGTTGGAAAATCATCTCAATTTAAGTAAGTTGCAAGCAAATGGACCCCCTTCATCTGGTCTACACTACAGACCCATGAGTATAATTATGTCATTCAAAGGTGAAAAAAATCCAAATCCTTGAGCAATGTAGTTGTGCCAACCTAACTCCCTATGTAGACTGCACTCTGTGGTGGGAGAGCTTCTCCGGGTGACAAACTTCCCACCTCTACAGATGTGGGTTAATTATGGCAAAAGAAGAGCTTTCTCCCGTTGGCTTGCAGTGGTTCCCAACCTTTTCCAGATGGGGACCCATTTTGACAATGATATATATAGTAGCCCAGTGTCTGAGTCTGTAACGTTGAAATGCTGGCTGTTCCCTCTGGGGGGCGCTGTTGCCTGAAATGCTGGCTGTTCCCTCTGGGTGGTCTGTTCTTCATGGGGAGTGCGGGGCCCAAACGGCAGTTTCCGCCACTTGCTCCCCCGCGGTGGCCTGGCTGAGTGGTGTAGAAGTCAGCCAAGTGCCACGGTGGGAGGCGAAGGAGGTCAGGGCGGTGATGTGCGGTGTGACAGCGGCTCCAGGCCCCGCCCCATAGCCATGAATGTCACTGCCCCATCCCCCTTCACCTCCCTCACCGCCTCCCCATGCCCTCCTTCAGCGCCACTCAGCCAGGCCGCCGTGTGGGAGCAAGCACTGCAAGCGACCGTTTGGGCTCCACGCTCCTCATGCAGCACGGGCCGTTTGGGCTCCGTGGTCTCCTGAGTGAGAGGCAGGAGGAGAAGAAGAGAAAGAGAGAGACAGAGAGAGAGGCAGAAAGCGGAGGAGAGCTGAGAGAGAGAGAGAGATGGAGCGAGAGACTGGAGGCTCAGGAGAGAAGACCGAAGTGGAGGAGACACCTGAAAATCCCATCTTATGATGGGCTAATTGGCTAGTTCAGGAAGACTTGGTGACCCAAGGCAATTCAAAAACAGGGGGAGGAGAGGAGGCAGAGCCACCTGGGAAAACACTTGGCGACCCTTTTGAAATGTAATGGCAATCCATATTTGGGTCCCGACCCATAGGTTGGGAAACCCTGGCTTAGAGTGTCTTCTTTAAAGCACTGCAGTGGGGCAGCTGCATTAGACTTGTCTGTAGGAGCAATTAGTTCACATCAATTTGAGATGTAAAGCTAGCCCACTCTACCTGTCCATGTGTACTCTGCTGATACCCATTAACAGTTAATTAGAACTATTTGAACTAGCCCTCTTTCAAAGAGAATGAGCTCAAAGCACACTAACAAACTGTTAATTCATGTTAGCAGGATGCAGATGAACAGTTTGTGGCAGACTAGAACAAGGTGGATTCACACATCAGCTTGCCATTAACTCAGTGTTAGAGTAAGCAAGCTCTTAGGTGCTTTTTAAAATGTCACCTTAAGGCTAATATTTTTAAAGGATCTTAGGGAAGTTAAGCATCCAAATCTCATTGAAAGTCAGTTTAGTGCATGAATATTTTAGGCTACTTTGAAAATACGACTCTGTATGTCACAGATTGCAAATCTTCATCTTTCATCAATCTTCTGGCTTGTGGGACTTCAAGACTCCAAACCCTAAATTAAGATGAGATCAACCCTGGGCCACAAGATTTCTGGATTGCATTTAATCAAAGGGCCAAACTTTGGGACCCTATGCATGGCACAAAATTATCTACCAGTATATGAAGGCTGTTAAATAAAGTGGCAGTCTTAAATAAGAACACACATTCCTGCGCATCCAGAAATATAATTTATGCTATCATGTGCCGAAAGTGTCCGTCTGCTGTGTACATTGGACAAACGTCTCAGACACTTGCCAAAGGATCAATGCCCACAAAACAGATATTAGACAGGATCACAAAGAAAAAACAGTTTCTTGCCATTTCAACCAGAAAGGACATTGTCTCAACGACTTAATTACCTGCATCCTGCTTCAAAAGCCTTTTAAAACTGCACTTGAAAGGGACTCCTCTGAACTGTTATTCATGCTAAAATTCGACACTTTGCACAGGGTTCTTAACAAAGACTCTAGTTATCTTACCCATTACAAAGATAGCTTCCCCAATTATCACCTCTAATATCATTAGCTCACAGACATTTACCTCCCCGCCCCCCCGCATCCGCCTTCTGTTCTGAAATTTGATTTGTCCTTTTCATATGTGTTCTTTTTTTTTTTAATTGTATCCTTTGGTATATATGGTTGTGACTATTTGATCTGAGGAAGTGGGTCTGGCCCACGAAAGCTCATCATCTAATAAACCATCTTGTTAGTCTTTAAAGTGCTACATAGTCCTGTATTTTGCTTAAATAAATACCACATACAAATACAAGGCCCAATCCGGCAAACATTTTCTACAGGGTATCTTGAGGGGTCTATGCATAGCAACCAGTACTTTATGCATTATCAACTGTAGAACTGAGCTCCACAAGTGTATAGATGATATTTTAAAGTAGTTATCAACCCTGATAATTTGGGGTCATTTAATTGGCAAACAAAAATCTGTAGCATAGTCTGAAAAGTTTTGTCATTCAATGAGACAGCCCTAGAAAAGTGTCATAGATTGCTACATATCAATTTAATGTAATTTAATACAATGGTCGCTAAGTATACTCCACTCCAATACTAGCTTTTATTGCCTATCAAAAGTAGAAGATTTTATTGCTTATCATCGAACCAGACTATAGCAAGTAATTAATGTGGCTAAGATTCTTGTAGTTTGACTCATTGAGGTGATTAGCTTGACTCAGCTACTCATAAATTAGGATCTTCAGAAATACACAGTTTCGCCATTAGAAATCTGCAGGTTCTAGAGTGATTTGTACATATTGCAGCACCAGCTAAAGACAGGCTTTTAAGACATTTTTTCAAGGGCAAAGCAGAGGGTTTTCACTTCCTGTTTCATTTGACCAAGTGTGTTCTTGATTTTCTGAGCTGTATTCAAAACCTCTACGCTGCAGGTCAATGGATCATAGTGAAGAAAAAAGGGCTTCTTGATCTTCAGAGCATATTTTCTATTGGGGATGGAGAAGAATATGAGAGACAGGTATATGACTTTTCAACCTGCAGACAAAAACCTAAATGTAAAACCTATTGGGCCTTATTTTTCACTATGCGACTTCTATTTTAATAACATAAGTGTGCTAGGGCATTGCAGAAATGTAGCACAGCCTTTTCATTTTTATTTATTTCTATTTAGAATAAGAGGTAATCATTCTAACACTGAAGTGAAACATTCACATAGACACATTATGGGCCCTCTTCCCTTATCTTTTGAATGGAGCCATACCAGTCATTTCTGTCAATGTTTCCATGTGGAATTTATAGGCTTATAAGGAGGAACCAGAAGCAGTCCCTACATTTAGGTTTCCTAACACTTTCTACCATGAAGGATTCTTATGCAGCTTCTATTTTCTGAGAAGCTACAAAACCTCCATTGTAATAGGCTTTTGAAATGGGGCATGGATAAAGCCCTGAGGCCAGAGAATTGCCCTTTCATTATTCCAGGACATTCTTTTTGACTGAGATTTTCACTTTTACAAATCACCATTTTTGTTCACTTGGATGAGTTGTCAGCAACATTTTGGTAATATGTGAAAATAAGAACTGAACATTATAATCCAGTGGTCTCCAAACTTTTTAACTACAAGATCACGTTTTCAGTTTAAGTGCAATGTAAGAGCTACCTCAAACCTAAATACCCTTGCCCCACTTCCTTCCCACCCCTTCTTTGAGGCCCTGCCCCTGCTCCACTCCTTCACTGAGGCCTCACCCTGCCCATTCCATCCTCCTTCCTCCCCCATCCTCACTCACTTTCACCAGGCTGAGGTAGGAGGTTGGGGTGCAGGCTCTGGTCTTGAGCCAAGGGATTTGGACTGTGGGAATGCTCTGGGCTTAGCCCAAGGTGGGGGTTTGGATCTAGGAAGGGACTCAGGGTGCAAACTCTGGGAAGGAGTTTGGGTGCAGGGAAACTCACGCCTGGGACAGGAGGTTGGGTGCCGGAGGTGGTACAGGGCTGGGACAGGGGTTCAGAAAGCAGGGTCTGGCTGGGCACCATTTGACTGAGATGGCTTCTGGGTGGTGGAGCAGTAGGGTTAAGGCAGGCTTACTCCTGCCCTGGCCCAGCACCACTCCTGAAGCAGCTGGCATGTACACCAATGGCTCCATGGTGCCATGTGCTGCCCATCATCTGTAGGCACTGAGCCCATAGCTTCTACTGGCCACAGTTCCCCATTATTGATCAATGGGAGCTGTAGGAGTGGTGTCTGCAGGCAAGGACAGCATGTGGAGACCCCCTGCCCTGCCTTTCTCAGGAGCTGCAGGGACATACCAGCCACTTCCAGAAGCAGCAGTTACCACAGGGATAATGCCTCCAGCCACGACAGATGAGGCATTTTAGATGAGGCACTACTCAAAGAATTACGTTTAAGTGTAAGAGAGAAATGAAAACTATGAAATGCACAGACCAGTCAAAAACCCAAAATAACACACTATGCAAGCAGTAAAAGTAGTAACAACAACAGCTCGCATATGTGTTGGGTCAGGAGATGAGTGTGAAGGACAGTGTGTGTTTGTGAAAATGACAGACACACACAGTATGTGAGAGTGACAGAGATTTGCATTGCCAAGCTCTCTCCATCCTCTTCTCTCTCTGTGGAGACAGGGTACAGAAATGAGGGGAGGAGGGACACCCTGACATCAGTGCCCTCCTCTTCTCTCTCCCACACCATACACCACAAGCAGGAGGCTCCCAGGAGGCAGCTCCAAGGCAGGGGGCATGAGCAGCAGCATGACAGTGGGTAGAGTAGCAACTGAAGTGCTAGCACTAGATAGCTTCCCGGCCAAACCAGTCAGGATCACCTGTCAGAGGCTCCAAGATCTACCAGTAGATCCCATGTACTGGTTGGTGACCACTGCTGTAATTAAGGTGAGGCTGAAATTGCTGCTACCACAGCAACAGCATACTGTAGACAGGGAACCCTGGAAAAGACAGCCTCTTCAAGAGATGGTGGATTGGGCTCTCTTTGACAAATTCCCCACCCTGACTCAGCACATGGCCCAGGCAGTCTATTCCCTACCCCTAGAACAAATAGCTGCCTTCTCCTCCTGCCAGCTAGTGTGCTGATGGTTCAGTGTTCAAACAGAGACGAGGAAGTGTAGGGGAAGCACATAGTTACACAATATGATTTTTTATTACCCTTTTAAAAAATTAGGAATTTATCTCTCCTTTCTATAACCCGCCTTGTTTTGAAAGAATGTTACCTAACTTGCATTCTAACATTATCCAGCACTGAGGTAGACATGAATGTTAATTCTGTTCCCTTCTGCGTACATATGTGGGATACAATGATGACCTTATGGTAAAACCCCTTGTCAGGGCCAAAAGAGACCTAGGTTCAATTTGTGATTGCTACAAGCTTCCTGTGCGACAGAAGCTTCCTCAGAGAGATGTTGAGCGCACAAATGTGGGTGAGGCATCTTTTGGATGTCATGAGCAGGCTGTAGAGTGTTTTATATATGGTGGGCAGGCGGTAGATGGTATCTTACATACAGCTATGGCTTTAAAAAAGCAGTGCTTATTTTTATTTATAAAAAATAAATGGACAGGTCTTGTGTGTGCGGAGTCAGCCATCCTATTGTATAGAATGCTAGTATATCTCTCTTAATACAAGGGACCCCCAAGCGTCTAACCTTAGCTCAGCTACCAGATTGAGCGGGGTTGTAGCAGTGCCTCCTATGCATTGCAGATTAGCATTTGGCCTAATGTATTTGTCTCAAATGAAAGGAATTTGCATTGGTGACATACTCACTGGAGTTTGGCCTGGGCATCTTCAAAATTTTCTGCTACAAAATAGACAGGCTGAAAGGTCTGATCTTGATAGGCATGAATTGCAGTCAGTTCAGGTTCGAACGGTTTGTGTTCTGGCTTGTTTGATAAAGCATACTTTAAAAACAAAACACAACATGAAAGGTTAGACTTTGTCCAGAAAGATTTTAAAAAATAAACATCTATTGTAGTGATTAAGAGTCTAAGGTGTATTTGGGTTGGTGCATGATAAAGTACGATTAGAAAACTACATTTACAGTTTAAAGTTTATTTTCATGAATTTTCTTTAACACAACCTTGTGATGATTGGGGAGGGGGATTAGGATGGATAACAACATTTCATGTCCAGGCTGTTCCCCTTTCTGGCACTTTGAGTGCAGAAGGTGGGGGCCCACAAAAGACTTTAAAAATACCTTGCCACTAAAGACTCGTGTTAAAAACTCTCCAAGGTCACAGATTCCCTGGCTTTGGAATGGTATCACTACCACCATCCAAATGCAAAAGCTACTTTGAAAACCCAGGAAAGTGCACTTAGGAATTCCTTCCTGTGAGGTACCTTCAAGATCTTTCGACCCTCCCTCTGGAGAAAGCTTGAACCCTTGAAACTTTAAATTCTGTTAGTAGCTTGGTTGTGCAGTTTCAGGCCCATGCACACAGAACCTCCCACCTTTTAGGGCACAGGAATCGGATCATGTTCTTAAACATGTTAATTTTATTTACAAAAAAACCCACCTTAGTGAAATATTGTTTGGTTGGTAGGTATTACAGGGCAATTGAAAAAGGATTAAAAACACAGGAAATTGCTTCCTGGGGTTTTAGTTTGGAAAGTTACAGTGTAAAGGAGTAGTTTTATATGCTCAGCACAGAGAAGTCCAACAAACACAAAAATAAAGAAAATAACCTGATCACCTCTTACTAAACATTTCCTGTTCTGCTTACATATCTGTAGTTTCAAGTCTTAGTCCTTCCTTGAGCATGGATTTTGCTGGATTCTCCATGCCTGGTTTATTTTATGTCCTCCTAGGCTCTGCTTTGGCCACACAACAGGAACAGGAAGGGACACTATTCCCAATTCCAAAACCCACAGTCTGTTTCCATTGGCTTTCCTGGCCTCCTGCCAACTCATTTCCTGCTTTCCCAACAATCCTAGGGACTCTCTAGGACTCACTGTCTATGGTTTTAACTCTTACAGGCAACACAATAAGGATTAGGTCTCAAGAGTTAAGTACTAAGAGTATGTCTAGACTACATGCCTCTGCCAATGGAAAGGGGATTGGAAAGGGGATTATTGATAAGACATAGTCAATGAAGCGGGGATTTAAATATCCCTCGCTTCATTAGAATAAAAATGGCCACCATGTTGTGCCTGCTCAGCTGTTTGTCAGCACAAAGCAGCAGTCAAGATGGGGATTGGTCGGCAAGGAAAGCCTTTGCCAACCAACCCTGTAAACCTCATTTTATGAGGCATATGGGATCAGTCGTCCATGGCTTTCCTCGTTGACCGATCCCCGTCTTGACTGCCACTTTGTGCCGATAAACAGCTGAGTCTGCACAAGATGGTGGCCATTTTTATTCTAATGAAGCAGGGGATATTTAAATCCCTGCTTCATTGACTATATTGGTATGTGTAATTTACATGCCTCTGCCAGCAGAGGCATGTACACTAGACATACCCTAAGAGAGGCTTTAGCTACCTGATTGGCTGGAATGTCCAGAAAATGGTGCCCTCCATTTAACACAAACACGTATGGAAAAGAAAATGTTTTATGCATTGGAACAACACAGGGTGGAATTATCATACCCCTTTTGCAGAATCAAAGTCAGGGTGTAGAGCCATTTAAACATTAATTCAGCAATGTTAATAAAGAAGGCAAATGCAATTCATTAAGATAAATACTAGGTAGGGAGTTGGCAAAACAATGCCATGACAATAATCCCCTTTACTGTCAAGATGGATAAGGATGGCAAAGTCTGACCCTCCATCACTGAGAGAGAGAGAGAGAGAGATGGCATTATCCCTGATTTTTAGATAGCCACTTAGTTTGGCGTCATTTGCCTCTTATCACATAATGAAATGTCTTTCTAAATGCTGAAGATGTATTAATTGTGCAGATTGTCTCAAGCAAGTGAGATGCAAGTGAAACGCCTGGTTTCAGTAACACTTCTGTCCCTTCACCTCACAATCCTCTCCACAGATGCTGGAATTTTAGGAGTGTGGGAGGTGCTGCAGTGCCCCTAGCTTGAAGTGGTTTCCATTATATCCAGGGTTTACGGTTTGGTTCAGTGGCTCTCAGCTCCTCCACTCTAAAAATTGTTTCAATGCCCCTGATCCTCACAAGTTTTATATTTAAATGTATTTATTTAGCAGTAAATTATTAAACAAGCTCATGGAGATAAAAGAAACAAAGTTCTATTAAACATATCAAGAGCTAACTGCTTCCTTGCACCTCAGAAAGTGGGTTCTGGCCCACAAAAACTTATGCCTAAATAAATGTGTCAGAATTTAAGGTGCCACAGGACTCCTCGTTGTTCTTCCTAATATCTCATTCTCTTTTTCTGGTTTCACTTAACGTGTTGTAAAAACAGCCCTTTTCTAAAGGTTCAGAAGTGTGAAGGCATATTTTAAACCACTGGCTTCAGCCAATACTGCTGCAGGGAGTAACCAAACCCCATGATAAAAGTTCTGTTTTCTCTCCTTCTGACTATGACTAGGAGCAGCAGTGTTTCCACGCTTGCAAGAGAGCCTGTGGCATTGTTATCCACAAGCATTTAAAAATCATGAGGCAGCACCCCCACCGTGAGATTTTTAGAAAATAATCCATTTTGTGTGGGGGGGTTTTCTTGGCTTTCTGGTTTTTAAAAATGTAGGATGCACTTAGGGCAGGGGTTGGCAATAAGACATTGAATGTTCACCAGGGTTAGTCCCTGATGGGCCACCGCTGCTATATTTACCTGCGCCTCTGCAGATATGGTGGCTTGCAGCTCCCATTGGCCACGGATTGCTGTTTCTGGACAATGGGAGCTGTGGGAAGCAGTGCAGAGCTGCAATCGCCTGGATTTGTAGAAGCGCAAGTAAATACAGTGGTGGCGGCCTGCCAGGGGCTATCCCTGGGCAACCGGATCTGGCCTGTAGGCCAGTATTTGCCAGCTGCCGATGTAAGGTCTATTTTCAAACTTTTCACAGCAACCATGAGGACTAGAAACATTCATTTAAAAAAAAAAGAACAGCTGAGATTCTCATTTGTTCAGGTGTTGTGGCTGGAAGAGTAGCACCAAATATTGCGACACCTGTGATAAAATCACAATATCTCCCTGGGACACAAAGTGAGAGAACATTCACAGATGTTAGCCAAATCACTTAATGAGATGATGGAAGGCACTCAGGCCACGTCTACACTACACTAAATGGAAGATCAATGCAGCTGAGGTTGATCTTCCAGGGTTCAATTTAGCGGGTTTAGTGAAGACCCGCTAATTTGAACTGAGAGGGCACTCCGGTCAGTGCCAGTACTCCTGCTCCTGACGAGGAGTTAAGGAACCTGATGAGAGGGTTTGCTCCCCTCGATCTCCCACTGTGTGGACCATGATTTAAGATATGTTGACTCCAGCTATGTAATTAATGTAGCTGGAGTTGTGTATCTTAAGTTGACCTTCCCCTTTAGTGTAGACATGCCCTATTTAGAGACTGTGGCAGTGAGTGTGATAGGAGAACCTTGCTAAAATATAATAGAATGGTTGAATTTTGATAAATTTCATTTTAAAATGCATTAGCAGCCGTTAGCAGGGAAGGAGTTAAAACATCTCAGACTCATTATTCAGTTCTTAATGAGAAAATTAAGCAACACCAAGAGTGATACAAATCACTTGCCTTTTTCATTCAATTAAATGGCAGATGTAATTTTAGCCTTTGCAGATTAGGTCACATACTAACTCAGTTTCTCTCAACACAGACCTAGCCTTAGGACTTGACTGGATTCCTCTATTGTGATTAATTGCTTAAAGGAGATTTAAAGTTGATCAAATTGCTCAGTGGTCATGCTGAAAAACTAGTGTAGTGGTTAACCTTTGCTGAGCTTCTGAACTTTAACCTAGATGCCTCAAACCATGAATATTTGGAGACATGAAAACCAGTATTCTTATTACCCTGCTTAGCATCAAAATATATTAGATTTAAAGTTATAAAATATTCAGACCAAAAAGGGGATAGAACAAATTTTTATCCTTACTCTATATTCAGTTTTGATAATGGATCTGACAGGTTTCAAAAGATAAAAAAAAAACAGATATAAACTTTATATTTTTCGACAATGCATATGGTCAAGGAAGAGGGAAGTTTAAGAAAATATCATCCCACAGGTTTTATCCTAGAACAGGTACACGGCTAAGTCAAACATATGGTAATTGAGCATAATTTGTGGAGATGCTCACTGAGCTTTTGTTTCAATGTGAGAAAGTCCAGTATTATATGAATTGGCACTGTACCTCTATAATATAGTTTAACAAATGGTCATGTACAAAGTTGCAATGCCATCATGTAACAAATGCACACATATTTCTATACTAGTGTTAATGAGAGAAGCTTTGCATGCATACAATAAGAGGAAGCTTTGCAAACTATGCATCATTCAGTTTGGAAGCTGAATTCTACAGTTTGATTTGCAGGAGTCAATGCCCTCTAGTGAATAACAGCCAGCTATACTAACTGAATGCCATATAGCTGAGCTTCTGGCCACAAGGTTTTGATCTGCCAATGCACTAGTAGTCATCTCTGAACTGGCATTAAACAGGACAGGGCAACTGTGCAGCTTATCTCTTTAAACAGGGGTTTTTTTTTCTAATGACCCTTGATGCAGCTGCAGTCAAGTTCACACTATGTCATGCCTCCTTGGTAAGTGCTGACCCACAGCAGGCTACTAGCTCTCCACCTGGCTGCTGTTGCTGTCATCAAATGGCTGGACACATTGTGCGTATGCTGAGGCCATGCTTCTAGTGGTGACAATACAGTTAGGAGGCGGACTATTAGTTCATAAGTACGGTTTTCATGACTATGTAGGCCATTTAGTTGGAAGACAAGACAGATTTATACTTTTCTATCCACATTTGTGGCGGCTGTTGTATCAGAGAAGGGAACATCTGAATTTCTCTTGGGTGGAAGGAGGAGAAGTGAGGTTCTAAAAATGATGATCAAATGTTTTTTAAAATGATCCTCAGAATATTTTGATGGCAGAAAATATTCATCTACTTTTTCCACAAACGTTTAGAAAATGACTCATGGGAATGAGTTGTCAATAAATACATTTTACTTACCACAAGCTCCCCATAAGATGAAAGAAGTCCTGCCCCATAAGCTTTGATGGAACCATTTTCTTTACAGAGGCCAAACTCAATAGTAAACCAATAGAGCTGATAGGGAAGAACAACTAATTAGCTGTTACTTTTTGGTTATAAAGTAAGTTTCTTCCATTTCTAGTTATTTTTAAGCATCAAGTTTGCATATTATAAGAAAACATCCTTACATAGTTATCTATTTAAATTTTAAAATAAATTATGCAAATGTATTTCCATTCTGCCCCCTGTATGTTCCACTGTGCAGGATCAGTGCCTCAGACTGTAATACAAACTCATTTACTAGTTGGGCAAAGTGAAATAGGAAAGGTCAGCCTCATTCCATTCTCACTATTAGCAGAATTTTGAAGGTATCCATCCCTTAGCAGCAGCATCCACATTGCAATTAAGCCGATTCCATTTTTATCACGTTACAACAGACAACAAGGACAAATATATTTTGGCTGACTTTACAAACTGAAATAATTGCACATTAAGGGCTGGATTGTGACTCAGACCTACAGACCTGCTCAGGGGAGTAAGGGGATTAGGACACTCCCCAGCTCTGCAACTCTGTTAGCACTTCTCACAAGGCAGTTTCAGACATGGGGAAGCTGGGGGAGGGAAACAGGGCCTATGGTCTCTTTACACCTGAGTCTGAATAAAGAATCTAATTATCTCACCCATTACAAAGATAGCTTCCCCAATTATCACCTCTAATATCATTAGCTCACAGACATTTACCTTCCCCCCCCCCATATCCCCCTTCTGTTCTGAAATTTGATTTGTCCTTTTCATATGTGTTCATTTTTTTTAATTGTATCCTTTGTTATATATGGTTGTGACAATTTTCTTCCACTATTTGATCTGAGGAAGTGGGTCTGGCCCATGAAAGCTCATCACCTAATAAACCATCTTGTTAGTCTTTAAAGTGCTACATAGTCCTGTATTTTGTTCCCCCAGAGTGTTTCATTAGGAATCAGAGCTCCATTCAAGTCAGTGGAGCTATCCCCATTTATACCAGCGTGCCCCAGGTCTTCACACCACCTCGCTATCCTCAATTACACAGTGTGAGGTGAGGTGACAGTATGTCACGGTCAGTATGAGGTGACACAGTCAGGGTGAGGTGACGTGATAGTTTGTTGTCATATCCATATACTCAGTGTACTCTGCGTTTGCAGACTCAAATTGCACACATCTCAGGTCAGTGGCATTTGAAAGGTGTGTTTGCTAAGTGGCAGTTCTCATCCCCGAGGCGGGAGAAATCCATTTGTGTTTAAATAGGAGAGGGAGTTATAGGATCCTCATACACACTGTCACTCATTCTTTCCCATAGGTGCTGGAAGGAGAGGTACTTGGGGAGTGGCAGCATCCTTGGGTTGAAGTGGATTTCCTTAAATATAGGGTTTACTGTTTGGTTCAATGGCTCTCAGCGCCCCGATACAAATTGTTCCAGTGCCCCTGTTCTCTCTGTAACAACTTGCACTTCTGGTGTACAGATCTGATGATGAGATCCGGGGATACCTTTTGTGGGTTCTCCTTGTTTTTAAAGTATTGACCATCCCAAGACTAAATGATGTAGTCCAGCCTTCCTGACAGTGGTCATACACAACTCCCACAGGCTGGCCCCTTTGGGGGTCAGTAACTATTTTTGGATAACAAGAAGGCGATCATGTTGCAACTTCTGCTTTGTGGGCCACTTTTGAGCAGCTTGTTCTGAACAGCCTTTTGAGATGGAGGCCAGCTGCGAGTTTGTATTGTAGTTTAGTCTCAGAGCTCAGTTCCCCTATCTCTGGGGAATCTGCCTGGGGGCCAGCCACCAATGGGAGGGAGGGGCAAAAGGAGAAAACTGCCCTGGTGCCCAATGATTTAAAAGAGCCTGGGGCTCCCAGCCATCCATGATCCTACCATGGCATCATTAGCAGCCACAGAACTGGGACTTTAAATTACTGAGGGAGGCCGGTGTAGCACAGTCTGGATGGGGCCGTGAACTGGTGGGGAGAACCTAGCTCCTTGCCCTGCCCCTTACGCCCAAGGCCCTGTCCTTTCCGTGGGAGTCAGAGCCAGTGCCCCCAACCCACACATTGCCCAGGGACCCAGCAAATCTGTCGCCAGCCCTGGGGGGGCAGTCACAAGAAAGACCTTGTAGAGCAGGTCTTTAGCTGCTAAAAAACTCCATGGACTTTAATGGAGTGATGTTTTACTTAGCTGAAGACCTGCTTGTGGAAATGGATATAACTTCTGCTGTCTGAAATGAACAGTAATGAAATAAAAATGCCTTGTTCTTACATAGCGCTTTTCATCCCTGGGTTGCAAAGCACTTTAGTTGTATATCAATATCATTATCGACATTATACAGAGGTTCAGGGAGGTGAAGTGACTTGCCTGAGGTTACCCTGCAATCCAGTGCCAGAGCTCAACTATAATCTAGGACATTTTAGTGCCAGTCCAGCCTCTGTCTCAAAGCCATGTTGTCTACAGAGCAATAGCTACCTTGAGATTGCTTTTGAATAGTTCTAATGTCTATTGAATTCTCCTGAATTTGAAAGGCAACTTTAGTGACCATGTGGCACATCACAGCTAGTGGCTGATGTGTGCTCTCACAAATATAAACTCTTTTTCAATGCTGGTTTAATTTAATACTGGGAGATGCAGGTAATCTGGGGTAGCAGCTGGAATGATGTAAAGCTGGAAATGCTTCTAGGGAATGAAGACCCTGTTTCAGGAAGACATTCTGATTCAAGGAAATAATTAAAGTTACGCATGTGCTTATCTGATTTTCTGAACAGGGACAGACTTGAGCATGTGCTTCTGCTCTTTCCTGATCTGGAGGTACAGGGTTTTTAAAATCTCAGATATTTAAATATAATCTATACTTACTGTTGCCAGTTTTTCAATCTCAGCATCAGATGATCCAAGAGAAACCAGTCCAATAGCCTAAAGCAAGTAGACACTGTTATACGTGTGTTATTATTTAGCCAAAAGGAGACAGGCAGAGGCAGATGAGTACTACCTCATTTCTAACATGAAATGGTCATTGTTGATTGTCAACTGATATAGCTGACGAGGGTTTCCAGGACACCTTTGTCTCTTGGCCCCATTTACACCGCACAAGGAACCAGATTTATTGATCCTTAAAACTATTTAATCACACGTTTAGCCTAATGTTGACCAGATCTTGGCCTAGTTTTGACCTAAACACATACCCTCTTTCCTGAAATAATAAAGAAACTTTGTGTCAAGGCCATGATCTATATGACTGAATTACTACACCTCTAGCTTCTCTCACTGGATACAAATAGTCTATTTCCTGCCTGCCAGACCCCTTTCTAGTTCCTATGCCAGCTCCACTCACTGGCTTTGACGCCTGAGTGGCAGCGTACCTGCTTAGCCTTGCCTTTTCAGTTGCTCACCCCCCTTGTCTGCTTCCCTATCTACATTTCTGGCTTCCCTGTCCTCTGGTTCTCTTCCTGCCTCCTTACTGTGTCCCCTGTTTTTTCATTCTTCTCTCTTCCTAACAGTTCTACTTTCCCCCTGTGCTACCACAGGCCCCCTGGAACTCTCCATCTTCTACCTAGACTGTGCAGAAGAGAATTCAGCAGCCTGTTACAGCCACAGGTGAGAATGAGTCATGTGGTTTGCATAAAATAAGAACCGTTATCCCCTCAGAACCAGGAACAGAACCAAAACCTTGAACCAAACCTTATCTGAGAATCCGAAAGTCCAGTGTCAGGGATGTGACTCTGCAAAGATGACTTTGTTTTCTGACTGAAGGAGAGAGGGTGACTAGAGTCGCTCTCTCTACAAAGTATCTGTGTGAGCGAGGAAGTCACAGGCCTCTTCTCAGAGGCGGGTTGTACAATCAGCACTTCAACAGGTAGGAAAGGCCCTCAGCTACTTCTTTCATGTTGCACTCTACATACAACCACTAGGCAAACGAGTCAGGGGGCGTGGACGAACAAGCCAGCAAAGTGCAAAATGAAACACAGCTCTTCCTATCCTTCATCACACATGACCACATGGCTGCCATCAAGAGAGCCCAGTGCTTTGATGAACTCAACTCTTGGATGGAGACCAGCTGGCCAAAACTGCCCCTGAACAAGTCAGAGATGATGCTGGTGTGCAGAGGAAGATACTTTCGAGAGCTTGTAGCTATGGTGCAGCCCCTTTTGGCAGAAGATATATATTCGTAATTGGTCAGTTCAGTTGCAGTCAAGGACTGCTCTTGGATGCCTCACTGACACCACTCTCATAGAGCTACATCCATGAGGAATGCTTGCTTGCTACCAGCTCCACTTGGCTAGGAAGCTTTACCTCTTTCTGGTAAGCCAAGACCTCAGTTATTCATGCCTTAATTACCTCTCAGCTGGACTACAAGCACTGTGATATATCTGGGCATGAAGCCTTGTATTTAAGAAGGTCCAGCGAGTTCAGAATACAGGAGCATGTCTCCTCAGCTGTGCAGGTTACCACGAGCACATTATACCTGTCCTCCTCTCTGTCAGGAATCAGGACATGCAGCATGGCCTGTGTGGAAGCAGGGCCTGCAACACAGCCAGTCTCTGAGCAACCTAATGAGCCCAGCTTGTCGGTGGTAGGCTGACTGACTGCACTTCCCGATTGGTTACCAGAGTCAGCAAGACAACTCTTAATCCCAGCTGTGGCAGCAGTTCAGAAGCTGCTCAAAGCATTTGCCCATGGCTGTGATATCTCTTGCTTGTTCCCAGCCATGTTCCTGCCTTGACTTCAATCTTGCCCATGCTATTCCTCACTCCAGGTAATCCAGTTCTGATCCTTGGTGCCAATTTCTGACCTCTGACTCTGGCTCTAACCCTTGGCTCTGATCTCTGACCCAAGCCTCTCGCTCCTGAATCTAGATGTAGCCTTTGGCTCTGACCCTGGGTTCTAGTTCTTGGCTACAGACTCATGTTCTAATGATTAGACCTGACTCTTGCTCTGGTCATTGAGCTTGACTCCTGCTCTGACCACTGGCCATAACCTCCCATGCCCCTATCACATGGCACCCTCTTTACACTGGATTCCCATAGAATTTAAAACCAATTTTATGGTCTCAGTCCTTATCTTCAAGGGTATGTAAAAGACCCTCTCAATGTTTATGGGCAACAACTAGGCTTTCCTTGGTGCAATGAAATTCTGGATAATCAGAGTCAAGCTCGTCTGTATGAGAGACAGATCTTTTTGCGGCGCAATCCCAGTCTGTGGAATGAACTCCTGGAAGAACAAAGCACCATCTCAAACTCACCACTTTCTGTTCCCAAGTACATTTCTTTATCCTCTCTTCTCTAACAAACACAGAATAATAGTGTGTGTGTGTGTGTGTATCCTCTCTTCTCTAACACAGAGTAACAGTGTGTGTGTGTGTGTGTATTACAAAAAAAACCAAGGCATTCCACTACACATACTTCTTCCTCTAGGGAGAGGAGAAGAGAACAAACAAAATGTGACAGAGGTGTAGTCATATGGCTACTGGAAGACTCTCAGGCTATGTCTAGACTGCAGGCTTCTTTCGGAAGAAGCTTTTCCGGAAGAGATCTTCTGGAAAAGCTTATTTCAAAAGAGAGCGTCCACACAGCAAAAGCACAACGAAAAAGCGATATGCTTTTTTGAAAGATAGCATCCACATGATTGGATGCTATCTCACATCTCAGTTGTGATTAGTTTGGGTAGAGTGGCCACCAGGGCACCAGTGTTATTTCCTGAAGGCCTCTTCTTTCAAAAGAACTCCCTCTTCTGAGTCCACACACGCCTTTTTCTGAAAAAGCTTTTTTGGAAAAAGGTTTCTTCCTTGTAGAATGAGGTTTACCGCCATTGGAAAAACCCCTCCATTCTTTTAACTTTCTGCCAAAAGAACTCAATGGCAGTGTGGACTCAAGTACTGTTTTTCCGGAAAAACGCTGCAGTGTAAATGCTCCCTTGAATACATGGTGATGAACATGGTATAAAAACCAGAATAGGATAGAATAGAATAGACCTTGGTAATCTGAGCATAATACACCCCCAGAATTGCATGAGATATAAATTACATTACAGTTTTACCTGTCTAATGGCAATCTGCGCCTGTTAAAAGGGCCACAAAAGACAATGGAAAGACTCCCATCAACTTCAGTGAGCGCTGGATTGGGGCTATTAGCACTTCAAAAGAGCCCTACAGAATTTTTCAGCAGTAGGGGCCAGCAGCAGAGGTTAATAAGCAAGAATCTGTCTACTCCCTTGGATGTTCCCCATTAAGCTAATTACATTATTTCAACAGTGGGAACAGCAATTCTCTGGAGCCTCCTTACAGTTTAAGCCCTGGATACAGTGTCATAGTAACAAAAACAAAACAAAGGCCTTTTTACCATTAACTTTCACATAGTGGATGAAATCAAGAAGAATTTCCACAAAAGGAATTCAGCCATGAAAACACTTGATGTCATTCACTTGAATCAGTGATCTTTTGTAAGCCTGTGTTTGCACTTCCATAACACAGCAGAGAAAAAAACAGAACCTGGTGGTTCTGAAATTACTATAGGCCCTTATTTTTACATTTTCTTATAAGTCTTTATTTCTAATATCAAGCAAAAGGGGATGTTTCCCCCTAATAAATCACAGGGCGTTGGAATATTGTATGATTCATTGGTTCAGATATGGTAGTGACCAATACTCATAACCATGTGATAACTCCTGCTTGTTCTCATCTGTGGTCCTGCCTTGCCCCCAGCCTTGCCCACGTCTTTCCTCATTCCAGGTAATCTGGTTCTGACCCCCTTGACCTCTGACTATGGTTTTAACCTAGGCTCTCTGACATGAAACCAACTAGTGGTCTCTTTCCAGAACTACTGGACAGGTGTCTACATCGCAAAAACACTGGCTCCTTTGTTGGCAGTTTCTATAGAGAAAAAAAGACTAAGGGAGCTACTGCATAAGATACTTTCTCATCTGTAGAGACATCCCAACAGATCATCCCTGAGGCATGTTAACAATGCAGGGTAGGGGAAGCTTGAGTTGCTTTTTTCCCTGTGCTGTACTGGCTCTATGTGTAATTAGAGAAGAGACTGGCAATCTCTAGAGATTGCAGGTCTCTAATTAATCACAGAACACAGTTTTTCAGAAGCACTGAATCCACTTTGGGCCAGATCCTGGCAACTTACTCCACATGTAAGTCCTGTTTACTTTAAGGTGACTGCTCAGGAAATAAGTCCCTAGTCATTCTGAGTAATGTTGACAGAATATGACCATTTCTAAACTAGATAAACCTCTACTAAATACCATAATGAAGTGCATAATAGAAATACCTTGGCAAATGCAAATGCAGAGACAGGATGAGCCTGTTATGATGGCTACTATCTGTTAAACCCACAGATGCAAGTTGCCATGCAGTATGTTGGATACCTAAAAGAATACAGTAGCCTATTTATTCTCAGGCAGGCGGTGCCTAAGGGGCCCCACCTCAGTACTGACTATAAACTGAAGCTTCCCTTGTATTCTTGTCTTGTTTTTTATCTTCCTTAGGAGACACTGCCTGCTTGCCCTGGGGTGTACCTCCCCTATACTGTATCTGGCACCCAAAACAAAGGAGGGTATAAATAATAGCACCACCTTACCCATGTACAGATGGTGGAGAATCAAACTCTCTGAATTAAAATAACAAATCACTTCTAGTCCCTGGAACTCATTGCTACTGGAATTACAGAAAGGGTTTCTTACCTGTGAGAACTGTGCAAATTCTTTGTCAGCTAACATGGGAACGTGACCCAACAATTCGTGGCAGCAGTCCCTGGAAAACAAGTAATTTTTTTCATGCAATAAAGCTTGTTTTAGGTGGAAGTCCTACACAGTGCACTTCTGAGCAGGGATTATCTGCTGTTTCACAACTATTTTCTCTCCCTCTCTTTGTCCAGCAATTCACCTGGGAGTTACCGACTTGTTTAAAAAGATCTATGATCTAGCTCAAGGGTGGGAAATAAGCAGTCAGCAGGCCAGACACAGTTCACCAGGGTTAGCCCCTGCTGGGCTGCCAGACACTTTATTTACTTGCAAACCCACAAGTACAGATGCTTGTAGCTCCTGTTGGCCATAGATCGACATTTTTGGCCAATGGGAGCTGTGGGGAGTAGTGTCCCATTCCGTGACACTTCCTGTAGCTCCCATTGGTCAGAAATGGTGATCCACATCCAATGAGAGCTACAAGTGGCCATACCTGTGGATATACAAGCAAATAAAGCATATCTGGTCCAAGGGCCACTTATTGTCCACTCTTGGGCTAGAGTCTCTGCTGGGATAATTCAGTGAAGCTCCATTAAAGGCATGTATAAGGACACTTCTGGAGTCTTATAGACACCAACTGAGTATTTGGTTCTAGGTGTCTGCTCTAATTTTCTCCTATGTATACTCCAGCATTCAATGCTCTTTCCAAGCCTCCTGACCATCCAGCTTTCTGTGTTATCTTTCTCCTCGTGTTTTTCATCCTTCCATACTATGACTTAGAACTTCCCCATTCCAGCGATTTGCTCACCTACTTTCTTTTTACATGGGCCTCTCCCCCAGAATATACTACTTTCCATGCACCCTTTCATTGATAACCCTGAACACATCTCATGAAATAGAACTCCAGTGGCCACAACTCCCATTGACTTCATTCATGCATATGAGTCTCAGCAGTATCTCTGAAAACAGACCACAACTGCAGAAAAGGTGACCCTTTTTATCCAATGCCTCTTGTACATTCAATCTGTGTACGAGAGCAATTTCAAACTGTACACCATGAGCCAAATTGAGAAGTGATGTGAATGCTGGTATGGAACTGGTGTGGAGTTTGGATGGGCAGAAGCATGGGCTAATAGCAAGCAAAGCAAACAACTATTGGATGTAAAGTGTAAGGTAAGTCAGAGCAGACCCTGCCATACCACTTACTCAATGTGTGAGTTATACCCACTTTCATCCACTCTTACTGATGTATAAC